CAGGCGCCCCCCGCCCGGCCCGCCCTGTCCCCCTCTGGTGACAGAAAGTCGGCCCAGCAGATGAGGAAGTGGCAGGCAGGCTGGCCCTGGGGACTTCTCTCTGGCCCTGCTCCTTCCAAGCCCTCCACTCCTGCCCGCCTGGCCCCCCACTGGTGAGTCTGGACCTTCCACGGGCGGGCTGCCCACGTGCCCGGGCACCCTGCCTAGCTGGCCCTGCCCTGCCCTGCCCTGCCCAGCCTGTGGGCGAGGCTGTTCCCGGACCGTGGGTGGGAGGTCCCAGCTCTCTGGGGCCGGCCCTGGCCGGCAGGCTCCCTCCGATCCCGGCTCCCATTTGCTCAAACCTAGGCCTTCTTCCACCACCTCTGGGTCTCGTCCCTCTGTGCCTCTTACCCTCCCTCTCCTTCGCTCCCTGCTCCTCTCTTCTCCCTTCCCCTCCCCCTTCCTTTGCCTGTCTCCTTTTCCCTTCCATCCATCTTAAAGGAAGGAAGCACCCAACCGAGTTCCCCTACCGGAGACACACCCAGTGCTTCTCAAGCTTGGGGAGAGGTCCTCTCCGGAGCCTAGAGCCACTCCTGACCTTCAGGGCGCATGAGTGTTTGTGGGAGGTGAACTTGAGTGGTGGCTGAGAGAGAGCGGGAGAGATAACCAGCTGGCAAACTCACATGGGTCAGGGAGGAACTGTGTGTCTGAGTGCAGGCCTATGCCAGGTAGGCCCTACCACAGGAGAGGCAGCAGACCAACAAAATCTGGTTGTGAATGAATGAATGACGAAGGTCATCCATGAAAAGAGACCTGTATGCATGACCCAAGGCAGGTGTGTGTCTGCGTGCGGTGTGGGTGGTTTTATGTTCATTCACCTCAAAGTGGAGTGTCCGAGTTTATGTCTGTGACCACATTTATCTGTGACTCACGTACGTGTGAGTAAACCCGTAAACCTGCGTGTGGGCTGTTTGCACATGGTGATGCAGGACCAACGAAGAGTGTTCTGGGTGTGTTGCCAGCGTGAATGGAGTGAGGAGCAGGTCTGAGTATCAGGAACTGCATGTCAAAGTCCGTGGAGGCTTGTTTGGGTGGTGTGTCAGAGGAGGGTGGTTGTCACCAGCAGGAGGTGTGAGGGCTCCGCGTGTACCTATGTGCGCTGAGGGAGGGCAGGCGGTGGTCAGTCTGTCGATGGTGGTGGTGGGGAGAGCCATGCTAGAGGCGCTCTGTGCATACAGGAGGACTTGGGGCCTGACGGTGGTGGGGGCAGCTGGGGGTCGTCACGGAGGCTGGGGGAGCATCTGTGAGATGTGTGCCCCGTGAGTGTGGGAGGGGCACAGGTGCAGCCTCAGTGGATGTGTCAGAAGGTGTATTTTTCACGTTGTTGTCTGGACGGAGGGAACCTGGCAGACTGGAGGGCAGGCAGCTCGCAGAGCATCTGCTGCCCTGGCCGTTTTAGGGCAAGGCTCGTCCCTCAGGGACCGCCCCAGCATCCCAGGCTCTCCTGGGGACCGGCCGGAGCTTTTGTGTCCCAGGGCGCCCTCCCCCGACATTCCTGCAGGCTCTGAGGGGGAGAGGGCCTAGCTCATTAGGACCCTCCCTAAAGGAGGGGAAGATTCCTGAGACCTCCCCCACTCACCCACCTCCTCACATGCCACTGGCTTCCCTGCCCCTCCCAGGGAGAGAAGGGTGATTGCACCCATTCTGAAGCAGGACAAACTGAGACTTTCTGGCTAGTTTAGGAGAAGATGCTGGGTGTGGGTTTTCAGCAGTTCTCTTGGGGCCAAGGTGAGCCCTGGGCTAAAGTCCCGTGAGGTTTCTGACTCAAAACTAAGCTAGAGCTTTAGGTCATCTGGCTGTCCAGGGTGGGTGGGTGGGTGGGTGGTGAGCCCCATGCTTTACTTGGCTTTCTCAATCCTGGTGGGTCCTGCTCCTCTGGGCCCTGACCTGTGGCCTGGCCCCACCCTCCACCTCATGCGCAGTGCAGCGGGGGCGGGCGGAGGGCGGGCCTCTGCCAGATCTAGTCAGACAGGTGGAGCCGGGGCTGGAGTCTCAAAGGCTCCTGAGTCTCAAAGGCTCCGGAGTGGAAGGGCTGGAAGGGGTGCCGGAGAGGAGGAGAGCCAGGAGTTGCGAGAGACGCTGGAGGTGAGAGCCCGGGAGGGCAGAGGAGAGGAGGAAGGGGCAGGAGGGAACCGGCGTCCCGAGAGACCAGCATCCCGAAGGTGGACCGGAGCGGTTGAAGGGGAGGATCCCTGGGGAGAAGACAGAACCAGAACTGGAGAGGTGGGAGACTGGTGGGGAAGGGAGAAGCGGTCATTCCGGAGAGGAGAGGTAAGACTCTCCGGAAAGAGACCGGACTTGGAGAGTTCCCCTGCACAGAAAGAGGGGAGGAGAGGACTGGGGGTGAGAATCTCTGGAGAAGCAGAGAGTGAGGGGAGGCGAGTGAGGTGTGGAGCGGAGGGCGGGATCTGTCCTTCCCAGCAGGCAGGCGGGATGTGCGGGGAAGCGGTGCCCTGGCCAGACGGCTTCCTACCCCCAATCCCCAGCAATTCCTTCCTGTCAGTCTTCTGTCCTTTATGCAGGGAAGTGTCGGGAGTTGTCTCATCTGGTCTGCTTCCTGTCTGTGGGTCGAGGGTGGGATGGGGGCACGGTCAGCCCTGACACCCACCCTCCATACCTCCCCAGAATCCTTAGCCAGGATGGAGGCGGTTGTGAACTTGTACCAGGAGATGATGAAGTATGCAGGTAAGATGCCGTCTACCCTTCTTTTCTCCTGTCCTGGGATCCCTGGATCTAGGGCTGTCTCCTAATGGAGAGTCCCTGTGAACCCGTTGACCCTTTGTGACCTGGCCCCATGTCTGTACACCTGGTGGGCACCCTTTGGGACCCCGTGACCCTTTCTGACTCCTTGACCCTTATTCTACAGATCCTCGGGTCCAGGGCTACCCTCTGATGGGGTCCCCCCTGCTAATGACCTCCATCCTCCTGACCTACGTGTACTTCGTTCTCTCACTTGGGCCTCGCATCATGGCCAATCGGAAGCCCTTCCAGCTCCGGGGCTTCATGATTGTCTACAACTTCTCCCTGGTGGCGCTCTCCCTCTACATTGTCTATGAGGTGGGCCCCTGGCATGGCTAGGTTTTAATTCCTGCTGGCAGGATAAGGGGCAGGCCTTGTGGCCAGAGCATGGCATCTCCTTTCCAGAGAGGCTGAAATCCATTTCTTCAGCTAGATAGCAAGAGGGATTGGGCAGGGTGGAACTCTGGTGGTCTAATCCACACCCCTTCCTAGTTCTTGATGTCTGGCTGGCTGAGTACCTACACCTGGCGCTGCGATCCTGTGGACTATTCCAACAGCCCGGAGGCACTAAGGGTAAGTAGGGACAGGCGTAGTGTGGGGTGGGTAGGTTATAAGCAACTTGGGGATAGGAGTTTGGGTGTGACTTGGGCTCCTGGCCCAATTTAGGGAAGTTTTTGGAGTAGCATGGGTGTCCTAAGGCTGCCTGACTTCTTGCAGATGGTTCGAGTGGCCTGGCTCTTCCTCTTCTCCAAGTTCATCGAACTGATGGACACGGTAAGTGGTTATAGGAGAGGTGAGAACCTGTAGGGAGAAAGGAGAGGCCCTGGCTCAGAAACCCCTTTCCTTTCCCCACTCTTCTCAGGTGATCTTTATCCTCCGGAAAAAAGACGGACAGGTGACCTTTCTACATGTCTTCCACCACTCAGTGCTTCCTTGGAGCTGGTGGTGGGGGGTAAAAATTGCCCCAGGTGAGTGGTGAAGGCCACCGGGGGAAGAGGGGCAGGCATTGAGGACCAGCAGCTCAATTCTTCTGACCTTGTTGTCCCCTCACAGGAGGAATGGGCTCTTTCCACGCCATGATCAACTCCTCTGTGCATGTCGTCATGTACCTGTACTATGGGTTGTCTGCCATTGGCCCTGTGGCTCAGCCTTACCTGTGGTGGAAAAAGCACATGACAGCCATCCAGCTGGTGAGGGGCCTGGCCCATAACTGTCCCAACCTTCTGGTCTGGATCCTACCTTTATCCAACCTGCCTTACCTTTGACCCCATCCCTCCACACTCCACATTCAGTCTTTCTCTGCCACCTCTCACTGTTCCCTCTGACCCTTGCCTTCCTCCATTCTAGATCCAGTTCGTCCTGGTCTCCCTGCACATCTCCCAATACTACTTCATGCCTAGCTGTAACTACCAGTATCCAGTCATCATCCACCTCATCTGGATGTACGGTACCATCTTCTTTGTGCTGTTCTCCAACTTCTGGTATCACTCCTACACCAAAGGCAAACGGCTCCCCCGTGTACTTCAGCAAAATGGAGCTCCAGGTACTGCCAAAGTCAAGGCCAACTGAGAAACATGGCCTACCTAGGCGCCCACCTAAGTGCCTCAGGACTGTGCCTTGGGCAGCATCTGACATTTTTCTTCCCACCTATACCTGTGACCAGGGCTTATGTGGTCAGGACTGAGCAGGGGACAGGTCCTCCCCTCCCCACAGCTGGTACACAGGGACCACAGCTTCCGTTCCTCACCCACTTCTCCTGGCCAGCTCCAAGGATGTGGCCTCATTGCCCTCTGCCACTCTGGAGCTGGGGGCTTGAAAGGGCTGGATACTTATTTCCCCCTCCCTGCCTTAAACTTGGGAGAGGAGCACTCAGGACTGGCCCTCAACCAGGGTCTTGTGGCCTTTTTCCTCACACTGAAGAGGTCAGCAATAATCTGTCACTGTGGACCCAGGATCCCTCCTCTACCCACGCTGGAGCAGAAGCTTCTTGGCCAAAGGTCAGGGTGGGTGGGGGGCCTGGGAATACAGCCTGTGGAGGCTGCTCCCTCGCTTATGTCTCCATTAAAAGTGACAGAGAAAACCACCGAGGCTGTGTGTGTACATGTGTGAATGAAAGAGGTGCTAGCCTTATTATCTGCAAACAGGAGGGATGGTTCTGGCTCTCTGATGACAGACAGCAGAGAGGAGGCTCTGGGAAGGCTGGGACAGAGGTCATGCAAGGAGAAGAGAGAGAGACATGACTTTATTAGAAAAATAAAAAACAAAAACAAAAAACTGAGGTGATGAGTTGGTCCTCAACGGATGCCTTGGTGAATGAGGCTGCTTTTGGCTGCACTGGCTTTCTCCCGTTCCCGCCGCCGTGCAGGGTCCAACTCAAAGCAGCGCCACAGCCTCAGGGTCTCATCTGCTGCTGCCGATGCCACCGTGGCCCCGTCTGGGCTCATGGTCAGACTTAGGACCCGGGCAGTGTGACCTGGGGCATGAGGATGAAAAAAGTGAGAGTAGAGCATAGGAATGTAGACATACCTACAGCCTCCAATATTGAGGGCCACCTACCTTTTTTTTTTTTTTTTTAACACCTCTGAGGTATTTAATTCACATACCATAAAACTCATCCTTTTAAAGTATGCAATTCATTGGCTTTTAGTATTTCCAAAGTTGTGCAACCATCACAACAGTAATTCCAGAACATTTTCATCACTCCTCACCACCTTCTCCCCATAGCCCCTAGCAACCATCAGTCTGTTTTTATTTCTTTGCATTTGCCTCTTTTGGACATTTCAACAGTCATATGATATGTGGCCTTTTGTGTCTGGCTTCTGTTATTTGGAACCTACCTTTAAGCTCAGCCACCTTGGCCATGGTTGGGTATTTCCAAATAACCAACTGGTTCTGGGCGAAGCCGTGGCCCGAGATGAGCTCCTTGTAGTGGGGAGACCAGAGGATGGAGCACACCTGTGAGAGAGAATGGCATGTGGGCTCAACAGAGCCGATGCTACTCAAATCAGAACTAACTCCATTTGAGCATTTAGGCACCCTGCCAGGTGCCACAGACTCAGACTTGAATAAACCACAGTTCTTACAAAAGTTTTTTCAGAGTTAAAAAAATTGTTATCCATTTTACAGATAAAGAATCCAGCAGAAGGAACTTCAGCAAGTTGCCTAAGATCACATGCGAGTCTAAAAGGTGACAGAGCCAGAATTTGAACTCTGGCTCCAGAGTCAAAGTCTAGAATGAAGGCTGCATCGGGGAGAGGAGGGTAGAAGGGGAGGAACCTGGAGTGGGTGGGAGACCCACCAGCAAGGGCTTCAAATTTCATTCCAATGGATGTGGATTAAGTTGCTGTAGGTGATAGGGAGCTACTGCAGGGTTTTAGCAGTCACAGACCACCCAGACCCAGTGCAGAGGACAGACTGCAGGAGATAAGAAAAGAATGCTGTGAGACCAGTGCAGGGGGCCTCCAGTGAGAAGAAAAGCGAGGCTTAGGGGAGAGACACACGTGAATGATATTCTGAGGCAAAGATGATGTGTCTTGGGGGCTAAGTGAAGATAATGAAAGATTCTAGGAAGTTCTCCAGATTTCTGAGTAAGTTCTATCCCTCTCAAACAATTAAGAGGAGGAGGAACACATTTCAGGGAAATAAGAAATGACAAATTTAATTTAGGGCATATTAGGCCGGTGCCACCTATAGGACATGAGGTTGGAGTTAAGCCACAGACAGAAGTGTGGCCTGGAGATCATGAATGAGAGTGGAGCCAGAATTTTGGAAACCATCGGGCACAGAGTTGAGGAAGGCACTGGAAGGAACACGGTTGCCCACGGAAGACCACACAGAGTGAGAACACCTTCTGGGAGGGAGGGGCTGGAACAGGTAAAAGACTACCTGGGATTGGGCATCCACAGCACTCAGACAGGCCCCAGAGCAGACGTTCCAGATGCGAATGTGCCGGTCACTGGTACCCCCTCCAGTTGCCAGGACGTTGGACTGCCAGGGACACCAGGCTACAGCCTAGGTAGGATAAAGGTGGGGTCAGCAGGTACTAGAGCTAGACACTGGTCACAGGGTAATCCCGTCTAACCCTGCTGTCCCATCTCCCCTTAACAGTCCCCAGGTTCTGGGCCAGGGTAAGCAGAGGACCCAACCTAGCCCCATTCTCACCTTGACAGCCCCTTGATGCTGGGTGAATGTCTGCAGGGGAACCCAGCCACCCTCTCCGGGAGCACTAGGCCACACATTGACCACGTTATCGTTGCCACCACTGGCCAAATGTCGTCCATCTGGGGCCCAGCGCAGCCCACACACCTCCTGGCTGTGGCCAGTCAGTGTGGCCACATGGTGTTCTGCTACCCGAACATCGTGGTGGTGGATATGGCCAGAGCGTGAGCCACTGCAGGAGGGAAGAAGGGAATCAGGTTCTGTGGCAGGGCCAAACACTGCCAGCAGGACTGAGCTGCTTCCATTCAGAGGTGTACATCTGGGGAGAGCTGGCAAAAATTGCACATTGATTTTGCAACAGACTAGCTAAAACCACTAACCTGGACAGGATATAGCTGTTCCAGCATAGGGAGCCCACTCGAGCCGAATGACTGGTCATGTTTCGAAGCCGCTTCTGCTGCTGCACATCCCATAGCTAGAGAGAGAAGGCTGCTAGGATCAGAGATTGCAACTTGCCATTAACATCCTCCTGCTGCACAAGCCCCCTGTCTGGGCACAACAGAACTGCAGCACAGGGATAAGTCTCACCTGCACCTCGGCACTGCTGGTGCCCACAGCTAGGTAGTTGCCCTCTTTTATCCAGGCCACAGAAGATATATAGTCCCCAGGCTGCTCCATTTGCAGCAGCTGCAAGATGTCACCAGAGCTAGCACTCCACAAGTACACACTGTTGTCCAACGCCACAGCCAGTACATTCCCAGAGCTCCAGTCCACAAGGTTCAGGTCTGCCAGAGCAGGGAAAGGGAGGAGAATGAGCTTCCTTGTTTGTCTGGTCCCCAGGCCCTCTTCCTCTGTCCAATGGGCAAAGGGAAGGCTGCACTTACAGTAGTCATTCCGGATTTCAGGGGCGTCCAAGATACGGTCTGGTAGGGAAGGAATGTAACGGCAGGTCTTCCGGCTGGAGCCAGGCGTGGCCTTCTGGCTATAAAGCACTTTCAGTCTGTTCTGGTAACCTGTGGCAACCGAATACGTCTTGACAGTGGGAAAACGGACTCCAGTGGGAAAACTGACTCCTCCCCTGCTCCTGGCGAGGAAGGCCAGAGACGCACCTCCCCTCCCTTCAGTCTTAGGTGGGAAGAGCAGACAGGCATCTCCCCCCAACCCTGGGAACGGGCCAACACCTCCCTCCAAGAAGGAAGAACTTCAAGGTCTTACCCTCTGGGGCATTTTGTGGTTTTCCACTGAGCCGAAGGATCTTGGCTTCCTCCACATCAAAGCCGTTCAGATTCAAAGCCCAGGCTTTCTGATGTTCCTGGCACAAAGGGTGGTGGTGAGGCAGGATGGCATGATTCAAAGCACACAGAGTACACAAAGTACACTCTTGCCTTAAGCCCCTCTGGGCCACATACCTTCTTGGTGGGCGTCTGGCTATTTTCAGGCTGGTTCTCCTTGCTTAGGAGGAAACTGGCCACTTCCATCTGGGAAGCGCTGCGATGGGGGATATAGCGGTCACCACCAGGTTTGCTGGGAGTGGTCTGTGCCTTGGAGCTAGATTTGCCTGGGCCGGGGAGAGGGAAGCCAGAGTCTGAGCAGGCTCCTGAGGGAGGAGGCCTGAAGGCCGCTCTCAGCCGTTCCCTCTTCTTCCCCGTGTCCCGCCGCACCCCACTGACCGGGTGTTCGGCTTGGGGTCCTGCCTGCGCTGTGGGATCGGTTGGCGGCCCGCATGGGTGAGGGGGCCGGTCCCGCAGCTTCCTTAGCTTTGCGCTGCCAGCGCGCAGGGGGTGCATTGGGGATGGGTGCATCCAGCTGCAGCAACGAGTGCAGGTCACTCTCGAACACGAACTGCGCCATGGGAGCGTCTGCAGGAGGAGGGGTCCTTGGAGTGGATGCCCGCGGAGCCCTGAGGAAGAGGCGACCGTGCTCTGCCTGGGACCGCCGGCCACACACTCAGAACCAAGCCGGCCCCAGCCCGTCCGGGTCTCGGAGCACGGGCTGCATACCCACCCCAGCTCGACCCACACGGCCCTTACCTCCACCTCCGACTAGATTCCGATCCCAGACCGGTCTCTGCAGTGCCGGCCTCCGCTTCTTAAACTCTCCGCTCTGAGCACTCATTGGCTCCTTCAAAACCCAACCGTCGCAACCGTCGCCTTCACCCACTGGCCTTTCACGGCATAGGAGGCGGGTCTTCCGGTGCAAGTCACAGGTCTCACGAGAATCCAGTCGTGGAGCGTGATTTGAAGAGTGAGAGAGTTGAGGCCCGTCTCCAGAGAACTGGTGTCGGAAAGAGAGAGGGGCGGGGAGGGGCGCGCCTGGGGGCGGGGCCTGAGCTGCCACTGCATTCCGGAGTCCCTTCCATTCATTCTTCAGCTTGCCCTCTTCGGCCCTTCATAGTTAAAGCGTCCATGTGGATCGTATTTATGATGCAGAAGTGCAGAAGTGACCTAAAGCACTTGAGCCCTTCAGAGAAGGGAAAAGAGGCAGGTGGGTAGGAGTGGGGAACGAGTTGAGAAGCTTAGGAGCAGAAAGAAGGTAAGACCTAGTTAGTTTGGTGCCTGTAGGAACACTGCCAGGAAGGACGTAACCTGTATGGGGTTTTTGTTTGTTTGTTTGTTTTTGTTTTTTGAGAGGGGGCGGAGGGGCAGAGGGAGAGGGAGAGAGAGAATCCTAAACAGGGTTTCTCTGAGGGAACCGGATGTGGGGCTCTATCCTTAGACCCTGGGATCTTGACCTGAGCCAGACTCTCAACCGACGGAGCCACCCAGGCGCCCCACGTGTGTTAGTTTTAAAAAACTGTGTTGTTGTTTTACAAACAGGGAAAATGAAGCTGAAAAAGGGATGAATTCCTTAAGGTTAAGAAAAAAGATCAGGATTCAGACTTGCCTGTCTGGAGATAGGATTGAACTGCCTTCTGAAAGACATTGTGGCTTTACCCCCATGGGGCTTTAGAGGTGTCAGGAATTTTGAAGATCCACTAGGCTAACTTGTGCGTGGTGCATCTTCCCCATTCTGGCAACATACCCCTATTTTACAGACGGAAAACCAAGGCCCAGGGAAGGGATTTGCCTGTGACCACACAGTTTGTGGGAAGCCAGGTTTGACTCCCATTCAGTCAAATCCGCTAATAATGACTTGAATGAATTGTGTGAATGTGCTTAGAGGTGAAGTGGCAATAATAAAGATAATAATGGGTACCATTTATTGGCCATCTACTAACGACTGTGTTTAAACAGTTTACACACATTATTGAGCTTAATCCTTAATCCCATAGGGCAGATACTCTATCTCCTTTTGATAGAGAAAGAAACGGTCAGAAAAAGGTTAGAAATGTGCCCAAAGGCATATAGCCAAAAATAAATAGTGGAGCCAAACTATCTGGCTAGCTCCTGCACTCCTAACCAAATGGTATACTGTCCCAGAGAGAGGCTAGAAAAATCATGTTTTCAATCATTACCTTAGGTCAACTCTGATGATGATAGAGAAAAATCTAGGGCTCTTAGCCCAAACTTACTATCGTTATTATCTTTGACTTTGAAGCATTCCTGTTTGTTGTTGTTGTTGTTGTTGTTTATTTCCAATTACCTAGACGACTTGGGGTTGGCAACTGGGAGCCCCTGAAACCCAGAGGAAAGGTTATCTAGAGTCAGGCTGGTCAGGGCCTCAAATGTTAAGCTAAGGAGTTTGAACTCTATCTGCTGGGCATTGTGGAATCAGTGAGTTTCTGTATAGGGAAGTGCCAAACAAAACATATCTGAATGCAGGACAGGGCCAGCAAGCTTCTGGAGTAAGGGAAACTGTAGAGAAAAAGGAAAGGGTAAGTAAGGGGACAACCTTGGGGAATTCATACATTTTAAAATAAAAGAATGAAAGAAGCCAGTGGAGATTATACTGACATGGACCTTCAAGGGGGAGGAATTTCATATATGCAAAATGGTCAAGAAGAATGATGACAGAAAAGGCCAGATTTGGCCACTGACATATAAGTCATCAGTGACCTGGGAGAGAGCTGGATCAGAAGAATGCATGCTTGGGGAAGGGGCAGCAGAAAGAAGGGTGGGGGTGGGGACAGTGTAGAGGCAGCAAGCACGGGATACTTATGTGAGAAATTTGGGATTGAGAAAGGGGCAGAGCATGGGAACTTGAGGGAACCAGTACCAACAGGCCTATGCATATTTGAAGGTGAAGGCAAAAGAGCCAAGGAAGGTGAAAGAAGTCAGGCAACGGCCAGCTGATAGAACAAGTTGCCTGGGTTACCTTACCCAGGAAGAAGTGGGATAGAAAACACAGGGAGCTTTCCAGTCTAGGAAAGAAAGAAAGAAGACTTTCTAGTCTACCAAAGGTCACTGCTCCTGTCAGGCAGCCCTCTCTTAGAGCTACTCTCTCACAATCTAGTAACCACACTCCCCTTCCCCCTCCCTCCTTGATGCCTAGGGGTAGTCCCACTCCCCACTATTGCTAGTGCTGGGGTACTGCACTAGTCTTAGGCTGGAGGGAAGGAGAACAAGGCTTTAAAGAAGGATAATTAGAGGCCAAGTTGCTGATTAGATGGGGGAACTCCCACCTGAAGGACTTGAATCTAGGAAAGCAAAAGGTATGGAAGGAATAAAATTTGGTGACATCCAGGGGGTAGACGAGCCCAGTTGGGATAATAAAAATAGCTCAATAAACACTGAGTATTTACTATGTGCTTTGCATTGTGTTAACACTTTTAATCCTAATGTAGGGAAACACTAGAAGAGGAAGAGATCAGGTTCTGAAGAGTGAAGCTAAAGATTTAGAGGTATGGAGTGGGATGAATAGGAAAGTCAGTCTGGAGGTAACATACAGGTTGGGTTTAAGGAGAGATACTGGAGGCAGAGATATTAGTTGGAAGGCTGTAGCAATAGCTCAGTAGAGATGGAGGAGATGGACCCTAGGAAGTAAAAGTGGTGAGGACATGATGGCTGAGTGGGTGTAAAGGTGAGAAGTTTAGTGGTTTGGCTCTCAATCTTAGTCTTGAGTCCCTAGGAATAGAGTTGGAGCCTTGACCATAGCTAGTGGAAGGAATTCTGGAAAACAAGTATACTGGATGTCATCCATTTGTCCCATTCAGACCCACTCTTTGTCCCTATCTACCATGCGCTGTACCCTGTGAGGCTGATTTATATGGCTTACCTCAATGGATTACCTTGGGCTTTGGTTTCTGTTTGGGTTCCACAAATGGGAGGATACTATGGATTAAATTGCGTCTCCCCACCCCCCACCAATTCATATGTTGAATTCCTAAGCCCCAATACTCCAGAGTGGAACCTTATTTGGAAACAGGGATCATTGCAGATATAATTAGTTAAGATGAGGTTGATTCAGTGGGCCCTAATCCAGTGAAACTGGTGTCCTTATAAAATGGGGAAGCTTAGACACAGATACACACAGGAGAATGCCATGTGAAGATAAAGACAGAGTTGGGGGTGATGCTTCTAGAAGCCAAGGAACAGCAAGATTGCCAGGAAACCCACTAGAAGCTAGGGGAGAGACCCAGAACAGATTGTTCCTCACAGCTCTTGGAAGGAACCAACCCTAATGACACCCTGAACTTTCAGGCTCCAGAACTGTGAGACAATACATTTCTGTTGTTTAAGCCACCAACTTTGTGGTACTTTGTTACAGCAGTGCTAGCAAACTAATACAGAGAACAGAGGATGGGGGTAGAGTGAGCATGAGCTATTTATTCCCGGTTCCCTCCCTGCCATGTCCCTACAGGTTGGTTGTATCTTTCTACCAAAGGTCACTGCTCCTGTCAGGCAGCCCTCTCTTAGAGCTACTCTCTCACGATCTGGTAACTATACTCCCCCCTTACCCCTTGATGCCTAGGGGTGGTACCAGCTCCCAGTTATTGGTAGGGCTCGGGTGCTGCACTAGTCCTTGATGGTTTTCCTAAATCCTGCCTTGTCTTTATAACTATGGCCTTTATTAAACTCATCAAGATGCCCAGTTCGAGTGTGCTCTTTCTGCCAAGACCCTGACTAATACAGTGGGTATGTTTGGAGCCAGCAAAAAATACCATTTATTTGTGAATTTGAATGAGTCAGGGGAATCTATAAACAGAATGGCCTAAGCACATTTACTGCTGAAAATGAATGGCCTAGAGAATGAGGGAGCTTGGCATGAGGTTAAGGGGGCATTGTCCAGAAAGATTTTCTTCATTTAGAAAACATTTATTGAAGGCCTACTCCCATGCGCCAAGCACTGCTCTAGGTGCTGGGGGGAAAAGACAAATAAATCACATTGCTTGCCTTCAAGGAGCTCACAATCTAGTAGTGGGAGACAAACATGTAAACAATCACTTGCATAAAGCATTACAGGTACTGTAGTAGAAGTCAGGGCTGCAGATAAGAACTTTGGAATGATCAGCTTATAGGAAAGTCAATAGACTCTTGAAGAACTATAATAATTAAGGGGTGGAAAACATGCCTGGATAAGAGAATAATAGGAAGGAATAATTACAATAGTTCAGATATATTAAACACTTACTATGTCCTAGGCATTGTGCTGTATTTGGATTATCTCAATTCTCTTCACAAGTCTGTGAGGTTCTGTCGTTATCCCTATTTTAATAAACAAGAAACCAAGGCTCAAAGACTTTAAGTTATGTGCCCAAGGTCACACAGCTAACAAGTGGGTAAGAGAGGAATTGAACCCAGTTCTGATTCCAGAGTTTATGCTTTCACTACTCCTATACTCAGAGCCAGGAGAGATGGCAATATTATGGAAGCCAAGGTAGGAGAGAATTTAAAGGGGAGAAATGAGTAGCTACCATGACAGATGCCACAGAGAGATCAAATAAATTGAGGACTGATAAGATCCTACTTGATCTTGCAATTTCATAGTTTGAAGTGAACTCTGCCAGGGTAGTTTCCTTAGCAAAGTAGGGGAACTAACTAGTCTGAAGAGCAAATGGGAAGTGGGGATGTGGAGATGTCTTTTCAAGGAGTCCAGCATTAGAGAGGAGAGAGGAAACAGGTGAAAGTTAGAGCAGCTTGGTCAAATGAGCCTGGTGTGAGAAGCGAGGGTGCTGGCTTTATGTCAGCAGCAGTACCAAAGGTCGTCATCAGTGGTCAGTGTCGTGGAGCCCAACTATGAGGACAGACAGAGG